GGCTGGGGCGAGGGCGAGGGCGGACATGCGGGGGGAGCAGAGCCGCGTGTGCCCACCCCGTGCGGGAAACTCTGCACGGCACCGAGGAAGTCACGAGTCTCCCGCGCAGCGCGGGAAAATCTCGAGCTTTTGCAAAAAACCGCGGTGCCCCACCGCTCAGGGTGGGCCTGGCAATGGGGAGCCCTGCCCCGTGCACCCCAGAGAATAGATCCACCCTTGCGCTGCAAGGTGCTGCCCGGCTCCCCCGTGAGCAGGCACGTGCATCCCTCCATTCCCCGGCGGAGGTGCACGCACGGATCGGCGTCCACCTCCGTCCCAGGCGTCTGGTCGGTGACTTTCCTGTTAACTTGCAGTTGCGCCCATGGACGGCAGACGGATGGCACCCAGCCCCTCTGCGCAGGGCTCCAGCGGGTGCCAGAGCCTGAAGCGCGAATGCGAAGAGGAGCGGGAGGCGGAGGAGTTGGCCGAGGCTGCGGCTCAGGAGGATGACGAGCCGGCCGCGGTGTTTCCACGTCTGTATCCCTGCAAGCAGGAGGATGTGAAACCGCGCTTTGACCAGGCCCTCCCTGATCACAACGGTGAGCAACTGCCCGGGAGGGATGTGGCAGGGAGTCTGGGTTCGCTGTGGCTGAGAGGCCCCCCGGGAGCCCACAAGACGCGGGGCAGAGGGGCTGGACTCGTACCCCAGGGGCATGTTGTTATTGCCGCCTGACTCCCGCGGGTTCTGGGGACTGAGGCAGGAGGCCGCTCTGAGCTGTAAACCCAGCCCTAGCTCTCCCACGGCCGAGTGCATCGGAGCTGCCACCCCAGCTGTGGCCACGTACACGCCCCAGTGGCCCCTGCATCCCCTCGGCTGCGAGGTGGCAGAGGGGGGTGGTTGGTAGGGCAGGACCCCAGGGCTGGTATCTCACCCCCGGGCAGAACACAGGTCTAGGATTGGGACAGTTGTGGTCCGATCTCATCATCCGGGATAGGCCGTCACTCGCTTCTTCAAACAAAGCAGGTTCGTCCCTGACGCCCTCCGTGATCCCGGCGAGCCAGCAGCGAGGCAGCGAGGCCTCGGCCCTTGATGGTCAGTATGTCTGGGCTTCGAAGCGGTGGCCCCAGCGTAGCTTCTGGTGGGATGTGCACTGGGGGTGGCCTGCACCCTCACATCCCTGCGCTGTTGAGCATGTAGCGAGATGAGGCAGGCAAGAGGCACCCATGACAGGCAGGGAGCTTGGAGGGGCAGAGGTTTGGTACCCTGGTCTGGGCCAGGGCTTCGGGGTGCTGTGCTAGAGTTGGAGGCTCCAGCAGGAGCTGTAGCTTGCTTCCACCCATCAGGGGAAAGGGAGGCCTGGAGCGTCTCGGGTTGAGCGGACAAATGCCAGAGGCTGCTCTTGATGATTATAGCTTAAAGCAAAGTGCATGGGGCTGGTTTCTCCCCGTGGCAGGAGGGGGTAGCATCGTGCTTGGGGTCATTCAGTGCATTATCTCCCGCCCCTGCCCACCCACCCCAGCCCAGACTAGCCCAGCTTCTGCTCTCCAGGACATAATCATGCTTTAACTCTCCTTCCCTCCAACCAAGCAGGCTTTTCCCTGAAACATTCAACCACTCTGACCAACCGGCAGAGAGGCAACGAGGTCTCTGCCCTGCCGGCCACGCTCGACAGTGAGTAACAGGGCCTGGGGGTGTGGTGGCTGGCATGGACGGTGCCCGTGGGGAAGGCTGCGTGCCGCATGCCATGTGCGGCCGCCTGCCACTGTCCTAACCCTGTCCCCTTTCCCACCCAGCTCTGTCCATCCACCAGCTGGCGGCGCAGGGGGAACTCAGCCAGCTGAAGGAGCATCTCCAAAGAGGTGAGTGCCACCCCTTCCCTCAAGCGCTGCCCTTCCCACAATGCCCAGCCATCCCCGCCGCTGCCTCCCAAGCAGGCAGTCCCACCTCTGGGTGAGAGCTGTGGGGTGGGGGAGCCAGGATCCCTGGAGCTGGGCCCAGCTCTGGACCACAGCGGTACTTTGTAGCATGCACTCTTGGAAGAACCAGGCTCCTGTTGTCTTCCTGCTTTGGATTTTTCTTCCCCAGGTTCCTTTCTGTACATCTCACCTGCTCCGTCCTTCCCCTGGACTTTGCCCTGAGTCACTGGCTCAGGGCACGGCAGGCGAATATGCAGGGTGCAGCTGAAGAGTGCCTCCCTCTTTGGGAGTGGGGAGATGTCCCTTGGGTTTGCTTTAAGGATCTGAATCATCCTGTAGAGGAGCACACAGGGCTGGGGCCCAGGCTGGGAGCTGGGAACTCCCCGTGCCCCGGGTGAGAGTCACATGGCTGCCTGGGCCGTGGCTTCCCCACCTGTGAAATGGGGCTGTGTAAGTGCAGGTGCTGGGAGTGGCTCATTTGCACGGGGCTTTTTTTTTTCTGCATAGGTGAGAACCTGGTGAACAAGCCTGACGAGAGAGGTTTCACCCCGCTAATCTGGGCCTCGGCCTTTGGGGAGATCGAGACTGTCCGTCACCTGCTGGAGTGGGTGAGTGGATGGCGTCAGCGTGGACAGCGCAGTTCTAAGTTAGTCCCTGTCCTTGGGATGCCCCCTCCCCACCCTGCCTAACCCCCACCAGCAAGGCCCCAAATGCTGGCGTGCCCCTTGGGTCTGTCCCACAGGGATGGAGATCTCTTTTCTCCCCCTCCACCCAACAATAGATTGCCTGCAGGTCTCCAGGGCAGGGGTGTCCACAGCCCCCAGAGCTTCCCAGTGGCTTTAGCCACTGGCTCCTTTGAGCAGAGCAAGATGGAAGCGCGATTCCCCACGGGAAATGGTCTAGGGGCTGGCGTTGAGCCGTTCTCGCAGTCACAGAGCCCATGGGCGAAGTCAAGACCACTAAGAACCTTATCTTATGGCCAGAAAGAGCCGTTTGTAATTAAATAGCTGCTTGTTGGTAATTTGAGATCAGGCTTATCGCGGGGCTGCGTAATCCTCCCTCAGTGCGCTGCCAAGGCATTGTCCCGGTAATGAACTCTGAGCCGCACCGGCCTCATGCCGCGCCTTGGGGCCCTCAAACGTGCCTGCTGTTGAGATGCATTTCTGGCATCCTGGGGGGAGGCACAGCTCCTTGCTGATGGGGCGTCCTTCCCCAGGGAACTGCTGGCCCTGCGGATCCAGGGTTTTGAGAGCTGCAGGAAGTTGGGAGCTCTTGAGGAAGAGTTTGATTATACGGCTAAAAAGCCAAGGAATGGGAGCTGTGGAACAGCCCAGCCTGGTTCACAGGTGAAGTGAGGGCAGCAGGTAGAAGCAAAAAAGCCGCATATACCAATAAGGATGAGGGGGAGGCCGAGCCACCAGCAGGAGCTGCAGGTTATGAAGCGTAGTGCATCCATAAGGGATGCTAAGGACGTGCTTCAGGCTGGGAGGGAAGGGCTGGGTGAGCGAGGAGGACAAAAAGCCTCTACCCTGTGGGGAGGGGTCTGGTGCCTGGAGCTTCCTGCCTGAGCTGTGCGTAGGGCTGGAGGCAGAACAATGCTCCTGAGCCTGGCAGGGCAGTGAACAGGGCAACCTGGTGTGTGCGTGGGGCAGGCTGGAGCCTTTCCTCTGATTAGTTCCTGCAAGCCTCTGTTTTAAGCAGCTTAAACAGTGAGACACAGGGCTGCAGGCAGCTGCCCACCCCGGCCCCCTCCCCCTGACCTGCTGGCTGAGGCCCTGTGCCATCCCCAGGGCGCCGACCCCCACATCCTGGGGAAGGAGCGGGAGAGTGCGCTGTCGCTGGCCAGCACAGGGGGATACACCGACATCGTGATCATGCTGCTGGAGAGGAACGTTGACATCAACATCTACGACTGGGTAACTCTGCTGCGGCCCCGGCCTTGGAGCAGGCGGCCTGGGCTCCAGCGGCAGCTGCTGTTAAACGCACCTCTAAAAAAACACGGCAGCTGCTTCCTGGGTGTAATCCAGGAAATTCAGGAAGGAGAGGGCAGGCCTGCACAAGGCCGCTGGTCTGTGCATGCAGAGAAGGAAGTGCAGTGCATGTAGCAGAGTCTGGCGCCGCTGCTGCTGCAGGGGCCAGGTGGTGGACCTGGCGGAGGTGGATCTCTAAGAGGCAGGTTAACATCCCTCTTTGCTCCCTGGGACAAAGTGGCCCTGTGAGCCCGGGGGCTGCCTGCAGAGAGCTTGACCTTGCAGTGATTTACAGACCCTGAGCAAATGAACCAGGAACTAAAAATGCCGTGTTGCCTCATAGAAGGAAAATCCCTCCAAGCCCTGAAATTGGCTGGGGAGTGCCAAGCCGCCTGGACAGACAGCCAAGGGAAAGCCTGATGGGCCCCAGCCCTCTCGCCCCGCGGGCAGCAGGGAACAGCCCTCCTTGGCGTGACCAGGCGCAGCAAAGCGTGGCCTCCTGTGATCATGCCTGACACCCCCTCGCAGGATCACTGTGCCAGGCAGCCAGTGACCCCAGTAAACTGCCGGGAAGCCCCAAGCAAAGCTTGCCCTTGGCCTCCTGGGTGCGCGGGTGTTCAGGGTGGGGGAACACGGGCCTCTGTGACAGCTGCCTTCTGCTCCCTTGCAGAACGGCGGCACCCCCCTGCTGTACGCGGTGCGTGGCAACCACGTCAAGTGCGTGGAGGCTTTGCTAGGTAAGGAGACACTGCATGTGCCGTGGTTTGCCAGGGGCAGATTGTGTCTGGCGGGTCTGACCTGGGGAAGGCGCTGAGTTGGCTTGGGGAGGGCTGGTGACTTTCTTTCCTGGGGCAGCAGCAGGTGACAGGCCAAAGCTAGAGCTCCTGGAGCCCCAGACTATCACAGGTGTCAAGTGCTGGGTGGGCTCCGTTGCCTAGCATGGCCCGGGGCGAGCAGAGCCCCTGGGGTACCGTGTGCTGCTCCCAAGCCTGGGAGCATCCCTGAACCCGTGCTCCCATCTATCTGCAGCTCGTGGAGCAGATCTGACCACGGAGGCCGACTCCGGCTACACCCCTATGGACCTGGCTGTCGCCCTGGGCCACAGGAAGGGCAAGTATCCTGCAATGCAGGGAAGGGGCGAGGAGTTCCCTGCAGGGTCCTATCCCTTCACTCCCATCTGCCCTAACCTGGGACTTCTCCAGAGACTTCTTTAAGTGGAGCAGAGGTAGCCAGTAGCTAGTGAGAGCTGGGTATGGGCCATAGGATGGAGCAGGAATAACTCCAACCCCCCACAGCTGCTAGAGACCGCAGGGGGTGGACAGACGAAACACTGCACCATGTTAGGGGGAGGCTGAACCACGGTTGTCTTGTTCCAGGGCAGCCTGCCCGGGGTTTAGCTTCCACTGCAGGAGTGTAGACACACAGCAGTGACCCCAGATCAGCTGAAGCTCTTTTCACTCCGTCAGGGCTCTGCCTGTCCCGGCTGGGTTAGGGAGCAGGCACATGCTGCCTTCTGCCCCACCAAACCCTCCTGGGACTTATTGCCGTGTCTCTCCTTTCCCCCCGATCAGTGCAACAGGTGATTGAAAGCCACATCCTCAAGCTCTTTCAGAACAAGGGCCTGGAGTGACCAGGACTCGGAGGCCTTGGCTTTGCCTTTCCAAGGGACTGCAGGTGCATCGGATGGAGCCAACCGGGCTGGATCCCTGCAGCAGACAAGTGCTTCAGATGCAAGGCTGGGAGGTCCCTGGTGAGGCCGAACACATCGACACTCCCAGGAGTCTGGCAGGAGCTGCATCCGCGCCCAGCACCAGACCTAGCTGTTGTGCCCCCGCCCCAAGCAGGGCCCTCACCTGCTCAGGGCACACCGTCTGCCTGTGCTAATGTTGCATTTTGGAAGTAAATCCTCCAGCAGTCTGGCCTGGCCCCATCTCCTCGTGCTGTCTCAGGGGGCTCCGGTCAGCCGTGTTCTGGGGCTTGTTTGGGAAGATCGCAGGTTGGGAGCCAGTTCAGCCCCAGAAGCAAGTTAGAGCAGCCCCAGAGTTGCTCCTACTGCATTGACTGAGAACAGCCTCCGACGTGGCGAAGCCGGTCCCATCCTCTACCACAGCTGCGTGGCCCAGTTCTACCCCACCGGCAGGAGACCAGCTCTTACAGCAGTTTCACAGCCCCGTTGAGTACCCTGCCGACAGCCAGGCCCCTGCTTGGGCCTGTGATCAAAACTGCCACAGAGGTGAGGCAGGTTTCCAAAGGGTGGCTGAGGAAGGCGTTCTGGCCATCTCCAGAGTCAGGGCTCCCAGCCCTTGTCCTGGGAGCCTGCACTCCGGCCACAGTATGCCAGCCTCGCTCGGGTCCTACATGTGCCTGCAGCATTCGTGGGCTAATGCACTGGAGCATGTGTCTGCACCAGGGCTTTGGCCCCTACCTGCCAGGGGCTCAGAGCTCCTGCTTCAACCTAGCTCAAGGTCAGCGCATCTATGCTGTGCTGCCCCATAGCTGCCAGCCTGGAGTCCAGCAAGCCCCCTCACCTGCCTAGAAAGCATCTCTGACCAGGCTCCTGTGAGAGCTTGCCCCAGAGCTGCCTGCTGCCTTCATCTGAACCCTGGCTCCCAGCTGATTAGTCTCCCAAACAGCTGGAGCTGGCCTCACCTTAGAAGGGCTAGCTGCCCTGCAGCACACACCCTCCTTGGCACTTGCACCTGCCCGACATGCCCCTCCAGCCCCAGCACCCGCCATCTGCACTGGGACCTGGGCCAAACCCCGCTGCAGCCATCATGCATGCAAACCTGCATGCTCCAAACCCCCAGCAGCCCAAGGGGTGCAAGCCTGGCTGGCTCCTGGCTTCTGCATCTCGCACTGCCTGGCTTCCTTGGGGCAGCCGAGGGGGCTTCATCTCAGAATGGGACGAACCTGGAATAGTGAATCTCCCCCTCGCGGCGGGTGCCCCGGCAGCCAGTCCTCCAACCGCCGCAGGGGGCAACTCGGATGCTGCCCCTCGGCTGACTTAGGGCACCAAGATGCCTTTGGCTACAAAGCCGTGAACTTGGGGGCTGGGCTGTTGTACTTCCCACAAACACACACGGCGAGTGTGCAGATCCACATTGGCCGCGTTGCTGAGCTCATCTGCTGCAGACACAAGCAGAGGGCTCAGCTTGCACCAGAGCCTGGCAGGGATGGGCTGGGTAGCCAAGCATGGACCTAGGCTCTCCAGAGCAGGCAAATCCCAGGGCCTTCAGCAGGGGCTCCTGAGCCGGACGGATGGCAGCAGCAGCCAGGGCTCAGCTCAGCCAGACGCCAGGCCTGGAAGCTCACGGCAGAACGGAGGCAGGATCAAACCCACCACCCAACCCAGCCGAGGGTCACCTGCTCTCAGCACCCTTAGCCAGTTGCAGAAAGGCGAGTAGGAAGAACCAGCCGGGTCCAACCAAGGCTTCAGGCTTCACTCAGCAAGGGTGCAGGGAGAGCAGTTTCAGAACAAAGCATCTGATTCTTTTAAATCGCAAAACCTCTCGCTTGCCCCAGCTCAGAGCCACGCGTGTTTATTCCACCATTAACAGGAGCTGCATCTGGCAGAGGCCTCCACCGAGCATGCCGTTAATTCACAGATTTACCAGCAAGGGCCCACGTGAGGCTGGGATCCAGGGGTGGAGTGGTGCTCTCTGTGCCCCGAGCCCGCAGGGGTGCAGCAGGTCCTGCAACCTCACCCTGATCAGTCGCTCCCTGGTGAGATGCGCTGACAGAGCATCCCCGGTCTGCTCCAAGCTGCTGTTTCCAGTTAATTTAGGCCCCTGTGCCCAGGTCCAGGGACCTGGCTGGCACAATAGCATGTAGGAGAGACCCACCTGGCGCGACCCCTTCCCCACATTATAGCTTCTCCCCAAGCACGCTGAGGTGATACACGACAATCCTCCCGAAGAAGTCTGTGCTCCTGGCAAAGGTGATTCTCAACCTGTCCAGCGTGGCTCCCTGCACCGGGAAGCTGTAGGCAGAGCGGTAAAGGAAGAAACAGGGACAGAGGGGTGCACAGATACAGTCACCCACCCAGCACCCCACATACCCCTGGGGCAGCTACCTGGTGCAGTGGGGGCCACCACCCAGGGAAGGGTGCTCCCACCCTCCTTTGCCCCCGTGTAAGGCAAAAACTGCCCTGTCCATGCCCCTCCTTGTGATTTTCCCCCCCATTAGAGCTGGGGGGCGGGGGCAGGACCTACACAGCCCTGTCGGTGTAGCCCAGCCCCAGCGAGACCAGAAGGATATCTGCAGGGCATGAACGTCATCGGGGTAGAAATCCAGTATCTTCACCAGCTCCTCACCCTTCCTGCAGCCTGGATACCAACAGGAGAGAGGGGGACGGCTGTGATGGGCTCGGCTGCACTGGGGCCACCCTAGCACCAGCTCCCTGCCACTGGCACGGGTGCTAGACAAAGGCAAGTCTCGGCCCCAGGCTGGGGGCCATAGCCCAGCGCTGGACAAAGCGCTGCCACCCTCAGACACTTGGCACTCGCACCCAGGGAGCAGGACCGGGGGAAGAGACATTTAAACCCTTATTCAGGCTGGATGCATCCAGGTGCATGCTCAACACGGCGCCGTCCGCTTCGATGCAGCCCCCCGCGCAAGGCCAGCACCTCCGTGCTGCAGGAACCAACAGGCCCGGCCCAGGCTCTGGGCCTGTCCCAAGCGCCGATGACAGGAGCTGGGGGGGAGTCGAGCGCCGGGAGGCACCGAGGGACTCCGCGCACATCCCCGCTCCCTGGGACGTGGGGGGCTGTGCTGGGCCCTGGCCCCAGAGCGCGAACCCCCAAGCACCTCACCTTCCAGCGTGCACAACCGACAGGCAAACCCGCCCTGGAACTGCAGCTGGAGCCGGGAAACCTGGACGGTCTGCGGGAATTCCAGAGTCACCCACTGGGAGGAGCCCTGAAACCAGGGACGAGCCAGCTGGGCCCCGGAGCCAGGCACAGGCCCGCAGCGCCCGGAGGCGGCCCGGCTCCGTACAGCGCCCGATGCACGAGCAGCCCAGGCGGAGGCAAGGCCCGGGCCGGCCCCCTCGGCCCAGCTCACCTGGTCCGAGCTCCAGCAGGTCTCCTCGCTCCCGTCAAACATGTGCTTCTTCCCAAACTGCTTCGCGTCGCGGTGCAGCACGGAGCTCACCCTGCGGGGACACGAGGCCGGGTTCCTCCTGCAGCCTGGGGGCAGGGGCAGGGGCAGGGGCTCGGGCCGGCAGGATGCCCCCAGGCGGAGGGGACCGGGTGGGCTCACCTGCTCGCC